GTAAAGCACAAACGGCCACATCAGCGGCTGCTCTTGGCATGGCACAGGCGGCTCGGGAGCAGCCAGAGGAGGGGAGGGAGTCAAGGAATGTCTCCGAAGCTCAGCTGCGCTCCATAGGGAAGCAGCATTGGGCTGGGGAAGAAGGGGTGAAGCCAGCTCAGTAGGTGCAGGGTCTGAGCTGGGCTTTGGGCAAAAGGAAGTCAGCGGTGAGCAAAATATTCGGGCAAAAGCGAGGAGGTGGAGCTGCGGTCTGCACGGCGGGACACGGGAATGAATGTGTGGTCCGTGATTCCCATGTCTGACGTGAGCTTCCAGATCGGTCCGAGTTAAGCTCAGGGGCTGTTCTAGCACCGTCTAGTTCACTGGTGCTGGAATTGCGAGCATCTGAGCTGCTGAATGTGCAAGCTTGCAGATTCACACTGCCTTAGCATAAATAGTCAAAGCATCAGATAAATGTCAAGCACGAGTGAAGAAAGCGGCTTGTTCTTGTGCTATCTCTGACAGTAAGTTGGATGTGCTTGAAATAGAACTGTCTGCATGGGCTGCTGCGAGCTGGCTGGGCTATTTTAAGTGTTACTAACCCTTGTGGCTGGCATCTTCGGGGAGACGGGACCGAGGCAGCCACACGGGAGGATTTGCTCTCAGGAGCAGCTCTGCAGGGGCAGGAGGCTGCTCTGCTTGGGCGGGGTGAGGGCTGTAATTTGGGGGTGACAGAGAGAAAATCCAGGCTACTTTCTGCTGGGTTTCTCTCCCTTGCTATGGGAATGGGCTGCAGCAGAGCTGATCTGAGCAGCTTTCAGGAATGGCTCTAGGTTTCTGTGTGGTGTGCATAGAGGAACACATTCTTCGTGCAAAGGATTGGATCCAAGGATATATGTTTTTATTCTAAGATTGTAATCTGGCTGCTGTAGTTGGAGATGGTCAGTAGCTTTCTACCTCAAATGAAATGTTTTCATACTTGGAGAAGGCTCTGGGGAGACCTGATAACAGTCTTCCAATATCTAAAAGGGCCAACAAGAAATCTGGAGGGGGGCTTTTGACAAGGGCCTGTAGGGACAGGACAAGGGGGAATGGCTTTAACCTGACAGAGGGGAGACTGAGATGAGACATTAGGAATAAGCTCTTCCCTGTGAGGGTGCTGAGGCGCTGGCACAGGGTGCCCAGAGAAGCTGTGGCTGCCCCATCCCTGGCAGTGTTCAAGGCCACGTTGGACACAGGGGCTTGGAGCAACCTGCTCTAGTGGAAGGTGTCCCTGCCCATTGCAGGGTGTTGGAACTGGATGAGCTTTAAGGTCCCTTCCAACCCAAACCAGTCTGGGATTCTATGATTGTGAGCGCTGCAGGGGAGGGGAAGAGCAGGGGTGGCACCATAACAGTTTTGGAAGGTTTGCTAGTGAGAAATGGAGTGATTTTTCTGGTGATCTCAGGTGTAAGCTGGCGGATATGGATGATGGTTGTTTCATGCATTATGTGCGTTTTCAGACTGCAGCACAGCCAGAGATTTGGACCTGTTGTCTGTGGGTGCTATATTTGAAGACCACGGAGCTGAAAAGCCCCAGGTCCCTTTGCCGGGTGCCACTGCTGACAAAGAACAAGGGTGGTGTTGAAGGGTGTCCAGAGCTAATTCTCTGCCCTGTGAGCTTCCTCTCGTGACTGCATGCCTTACACCAGTGACAGAGCTGCTCTGCAGTCACCCCATGGCAGCTGTTGCACCACTTACTCTGGAAGCGCGTACCTTGTGTTGCTGTGCCCAGCCATTGAGGGCTTCAGGTGGTGACCACAGCAGGTTATTTTGAGCACTTCTTAATTTTAGCTTCCCTGTGCTCAGTGGCACAGGAACAACTTGTTGCTGTGGTCACTTAATTGCCAGCAACATCAGCATCAGGTACTTCAGTGTTAGGTGAAGTGTCACCTGGCTTTGAGAAATGTTCTTCTTCCTGGCAGTTAATGACAGGACCTGCCCAGGATTTCATCCCAAGTTTCTCTGCATTCTCTGTGCTTGACTGTAACTCTAGATGGAGAATGCCAGCAATGGGCTGAATGAGGAGCTGGTGCTTTTTTTGGTGGAGCATCTCTGGGGAGGAGAGGGGTGGTTCAGCA